ACGGCATACGGAGAAACTCAAAAACGTAGCAGAGGCTGTGGCGGCCGTCTTTGAAACTATATAGTGACATGATGTATGGCACGAAACAGGTGGATGTTCGAGAAAACAGACTTACCGAATAAGTCACCGGCAAAGGCCTGAAGACGCAAAACGGGGTAGTAGTCCGGAGTGGCGAAACTGCTAATGCCCCTGTAGTCACCGCAGGGATGCCAGTCATCAGTGGCGAGGCTCATGGACTTTAAAGTTGACGGAAAATGCCCATCTGAAGCAGGTTTTATAACTCAGCCCTGGCAGCAGCCATAGCTACAGGCACGAGATGACGGGGCCGAGAAAGCACAGGAAGACCTGTGGTTCGGATGTGATTTACAATATGTCGCAACGGAGTAGAAACACTGAAGGTAGTACGAGTGAGGCCAAGATACTTGGCAAGAACCTGCCGAACGGGGTCAGGGTCCTGGAAAGCGAGTTGGCTGGGCACCTTGGAGGAGTGGATACCTCGGACGGTCAACTTGGTGGTCTGGTCGTGTAGACAAGAAATGAAGTTAATGCATTGTTAGTTGGACTGCCTCGAGAAAGTCTGCACCGAGAATGGCATAGGGAACTTCAGCAACCAAAATGACCCAAGAGTAGAGACGTCGTAAAATTGATGTCCAGAGAGAGGTAGCAGGCACACCAATGCGGTAATTTGCAAGGCGTCGAAGGTATGAAGGACTAAACCGGGGCTGGGGCACCGGCTGCTGAGGGCGGAATGCCATTCAGGTGAGCGCCAGTATCAGCCATCCAGAATGTCGCAGACATAAGAGGTACGACCGGAAATAGGGATGCCAGTAAATTTGGTCTAATTGATCTTTAGGCTGACTTTTGTTGCACATTTAGCTCCGGTTGGAGATGGAGTAGCGAGAGAGAGAGAGATGTAGCGACTGGCTTTGGTGCGAAGGTCGTGTGATACGAGCTAGTGACGGTGAAGGTGGGACAAAAGGAAGTAGGCACAGAATGTCAGGCAGATGACCTAGACGGGCTTTGTGCAGAAGAGGCTGTTGACTTTTGAAGAGAAGCTACTTGCTGTGGTAGCTGCGCACGTTCAGCCTTCAGATGTGAGAGTAGAGACACGTAGGGAACTGAAAAGTTAGAGAGTGTGGCAGGTGGTGGATT